CCCCCCCCCGCCTCTCAAACCAGATCACTAGTGGGTGTGGCGTAGATGCCCGCGGGGCCCTGGAACCTCCGAATGCAAAAGTCAAGGGAGGAGCCCGAAAAGGCGGGGCGCCCGGAGCCGCCCCTCGGCTTGCCCCGCCCCCAAGCTCTGGCTGCCGAGCGCCGGGGCTTCGTTGATTGACGGAGCTACTTGCGCCGGCGGACCCACCCCGCTCCCTTAAACCGGGCAGTGCCCAAGTCTGATTATGTGTGCCTACGCATACGTGTGTATCATGTCCTCTATGTATAGTGTACATCTAACTGGCGAGACACAGGAGTTTGAGTTCTGAGAGTTGAATGCGATTGTCTCCCAAAGGAGTCTGGGCTTAGCTAAATTGTGACTATTCGGCGTCCTTTCTACCGGGGACAGAGCCCCTCGGTCGCCGGGCAATCCTCCGGCGCAACCCCAGCGTGCACGCCAACTACAGACATGCTCTTGTGAACGGGGTGTGCCCGAGCTTGCCGAAAGGCCGGGCAGCTTCCTGAGCTCGGCCTCCTTCCACGTCGGCGAACGGCAGGTTCTCCGGGTCGTCGCTGCCTTGGCAGCCGCTTGAAAGGAGACGCGGGAAGAGACGGCCCGCCCCAGAGACAGAGTTGGAACTCCCTCTGCCGAAAAGGAGTAAATTGATTACCTGGTGCGGGAAGCTGGGTCTCAGGATAACAATCCAGTCACATCAGAAAAAAAGTGTGCAAGTTATCACTCGGCCGCAGCCTGGCCTCTCTTTTATTTGCCTTGGCTGCAGTCATCCGTGGTGTAGGCCAAGAGTGGGTTTGGAGAGGTGCGCGCAGGGCGCACGCGCACCGCGCGCGCGCGCGCGCGTCCTGCCTGGGACCGCGCAGCCGGCGCAGCCAACTCCCCGGCCCCACCTACTGCGCGCGCGCGCGCGCTCTTGCGTGCTCACTTTGGTCCCGTGCTAGATTCCTCCGCCCCCTTTAGAATTCCCAGGAGCTTCTTTTCAACCTTCACTTCTGGGTGCCTTGGAGCCGATCAAAAGTAACCCCTCCGCCGCGCCCAGCCCCAGCACCTCCCCCCCTTTTCTTCCCTTTCCCTCTCCCCCCCTCTTCTCCCCTTCCTTCCCATCTCCCCCCTGCCTTCCTCTGCTTAAGGCCGGTGTCTGGTGGGGTTGTATTGCAGAACACCACTGGACCCTAAAATGTTACACTTGGCTCAGAGACCTTTTTTTTTTTCTTCTTCTTCTTCTTCTTCCTGAACTGAAGCTTGAACTCAGCACCTGTGTGCTGTCCCAGAGCTTTTGTGGTTCGTTGAACACAAGAGTGTCGCCGACTTTCCTGCCCCCTGCTGGCTTTGAACCGTGATCCTCAGATCACATCCTTCTGAGTAGCTAGGATTACAGGCTTGAGCCACCGGTCTCCAACCAGACCATTCTTAAGGAGCCGGGGGGGGGGTCCTTTTCATCTTTTAGCCAAAATTCTTGGTCCCCAATTGATCCCTACTTCATCCCAGCAAAATCTGAACTCTACCATTTTTTCCCTCCCTCCCGTGGTTGCAAGACACATTTGTAGATTATAGAGACTGCGCACACCCACAGAGAGATATAAACATATGTAATCTGTGAGTGTACATATACCATACGTACGTTCAGAAACAAAAGTACGTGTTGTTCATTATGTGTGTTATACAATGCCGCTTCCCCCTGAAAAAAAAAAAGTCACTTCCAGAATCAGAAGTAGGTAGAGTGTGGTGGCTGGCCGCCAAAGCTTCCGGGAGGAAGCGGAGGGGAGGGGAGGGTGGAGAGGGTGTTTTGCTGGGCGGTTGCTGAGCAACATGGGCGAGGGGCGTCGCCTGCTGACAGAGCCGGGTGCTGGGAGCCCGCGCTGGGCCCAGCTTTGTATTTTGGCCAGTTCAAGCTAGAGATCGATATGGAAGTCGGGGGTGGTGTGTGTGAGGGGGGAGGAAGGTGAAGAGACATAAGTTATTGGGGAGGGGGAGCCCTAGCTGAAGCTGGTCAAGGAATGGGGCAGTCCTTGTTTGAGGAGGGGTCTTGTGACGTTAAGGGCTAGAGTCCTGCTTACCTGGCGCATCTAAGACACCTTTCCTGGGCTGGCAGAGAATCTGATGTAGGTGGAATTGAATCCTGGTCATTGAGGAATTAGAGGGAAAGAGAAGGGGGGAAATTTTACCTAAATGAAAATGAATTCTGCCTTTGCTTCTTGGAGGGGTTTGACCACCATCATCCTGGCTTCAGTGCCAAGGCCGGAGTTCCAGAGTGAGGTTTACTAGCCAAATTTATGTCTGGGTTGAACAAGATCATGGAAAACTGAAGGACTTCAGCCAGATTCCTTTCCCACCCCCACTCCCTCCCTTCCCTCCCTTTGAAACAAGTCTTTGAGAACTGGCTGTGCCAGGGCCAACCAAAATGAAAGCTAGCAAAGGCCAGGGATGGGCTTTAACTTGACTTTTCTTGCTTTTTCTCCATCTTTCCTTTCTGCTGTGTCAGCTCAGCCAGGAGAAGCCAGCACAGCTGGCCCAGTAAGAGCTCCTTAGCTTTCCATTTCTTCCCCCCCCCTCCCACTTCTTACTCCTCCCTCCCCTCTGACTCCCTTCCCTACTTTATCTCCCCTCCCCCACTGCCCTCTTAGGCATCCCCTGAGGGTAAGAGTTTTAAGTCTGAACAGCTGTGGGTTAGGCTTCTGGCTTAGAGGATGCAGGTGGGCCCACAGCTGCAGGGGGAAGGCCCCTAGACTGACCTTCCAGCCGAGGTCATCTCTTGGGTTAAAGCTAAGGGCTGGGCTAAAGTGCGGATGCCTGGAGTAAGTTCAAGCTGGGGGGGGGGGGGGGGGGGGAGGGAGAATTTTTTCAGAGTGGTCCCTTTGTAGCTGAGCAAGGGATTTAAAACTTTAAGACACGGAAAGTGTAAAATTGGAAGAACAGATTTCCCACACACCAG